ATTTTGGGGAGAAAGAATAGTTAATATAGAATGATATAAATTTTAAAAATACACTAGGAATAAAGCTACACATTTAACAGAAATATATGACACTAAAAAAATCCTGCCTGTAATAGCTGGACAATATTTTCTTCTGGCTTTTTCCCTATGGATTAAAATTTTAGTTCTTTTAAAAAAACCACAGCTGTTTGCTTTTTTCCCTTTAAAAAGATTGTACACATTTTTGTTTAGCTATAGGACTTGACTGCTATTTGTGTGCAACTTTCAGTAGTCTATCTTTGTGTAGAAATTGTTTTTGCAGACTTTTATAAAGAAAAGATAAATAGTAGTGTGTGTCTTACTGCTAATGGAAATAGAATGCTCCAATCCATAGTAGTAAAATGTATCCTGTATATTAAGACTGCTCCAATATACTCTACAGATCAATAACGGGACTTCGTGAGCAGTAGATATTGTATCCACAAGTTCCTTTGATAAAACATTTTCTTTATTTTATTAATGAATTTTTCACCTAATTTTTCATTATAAGAAACAGCCCTAAAAATAGCACTGACCACCAAGCCATGCCCACCAACTAAGCCACGCCCACAGAACCGGTTGTTAAAAAAATTGAATCCCACCCCTGGAGGTATCCTCTAATTTTCCTAATGTTTTCCTAATGATTCTAGAGCTGCTGACATTTACAAAGTTTAAGAACTTTTATTAGTAATATGATTGTGAAACTTTTATAATGGCTGGCTTTTTATTTTTATGAATATCGCTTCTATAACTTTGCACCAGAATAATATATCAAAGCAAATAATTTTCAGATTCTGAAAATCTGAAATCATATTCCTTTCTTATGAAGTTCTAAGTCAAACATAAGGACAGGACAATGCCTTTCACAATTCTTTAAGTGTCAGTCCACATTAGACAGGATTTTAATTCAATAAAGAAAAACAATATTTCAAAATCACCTGGCCAGAAAAAATAGACAACATTCCTTTCTGAGATGCTGTTAGCAAAAAATCAAGTTGAGGTATCTTTACCATGCATCGTATTACATCACCTCTCCTGACTCCTACAAAAAGATAAACAAAAGATCATTTAAACTAGGAATTAGTCAATACATATAAAGGCAGGGAGTTAATTAACCTGGAGGATATTTGATTAACTGATTTAGGAGCAATGACACATATTTTGATTACATTCAGGTAAAAATATTATACACACAAGCCAAAATGTTTTCAAAATCACTGTTTGGGAATCCAAGTATTCATATTATATTGCACTAATGTAATACCGTGTTTCTCATATAATAAGGCCGGGTCTTATTTTTTTTTGAGCCCCGAAAAAATGGCTAGGCCGTCTTTTCGGGGGTGACTTAATTCCCCCCCCTTGCATCTTCGGGCAGGCGGGCGGCGACAGCTTGGATGTTGACCTCGGCGTTGGTGGGGCACTTCGTATCGGGGTCAACGCAGGCAGCACCATATCCGGGTGTGCAACAAAAGTTCTTCCTAACGGCAAGCCCCCCCACCATTCCCCTCCATTTCGCATGTTTTAATATAGGCCTTAATTTGGGGGGAGGGGCTTAATTTCATTTCATGCCTATAAAACATGCTGGGACTTCCTATTGGGGGAGGCCGTATTGTTGGAGAAACAGGGTATATTGGTATCCTAAGCATATCAGTACATGAATGAATGAATAAATGAAGGAATGGATGGATGGATGGATGGATGGATGAAGCACCTGTGTGTGCCACCTGGCTAATGGAATATGGTAAAAATACATTCTATTAAAAAGTAATATATAGAGAAGAGATCCTAACATGAATATCATCCTGATTGAGATATAATTGACTTTGTTGCACATGTGCCATACTACCAAATATGTCCCCAAAATTATCAATATTGCATCCTTATTATTACCAGAGAATGCTGCACACTACACAGACATGTTTACATAGTAAACCTAATCTACCCTTTATATTATTAAAAAGCATGACCTTCGCTGGCTAAACCATGATGTCTGGCTGTGGGCCCATCAGATGTTGACCATGTTACATAGAAACTGCAACTTGGAATAGGAGAGGAATAAATTGTAAGAAGCCTCAATAAAGCTGTTATCTACTGTATGTCAGAAAGCATGAATTTGTTTCAACACACCCTGTGAGCTAAAATAAACAGGAAAGAAGATGCAAAGAATATAGTCAAAATAGTATGGTTAGAAGAAGCAGAGAAGATGCAGAACAATTTTGATGAAAATAAACAATTACTATGGGCATGGATGAAAAAGACTAAGCAAAGGGTCTCCAGGGCAGTGAATGAATTAAAAAATAAAAATTATGAAATGACTTAGGATGAAATTGAGACAACAGAATGCTCCAAGGAGTATTTTAGAGAAGTGTGGGAATGGCAATATGTTGAGCAATGGAATTAAAATAAATGCTATAAATTTGGAAAAGCACCAGAAGGCAAGACAAGAATCAATGGATGGAAACTAATCAAGGAGAGAAGCAACCTGGAATTAAGGAGAAATTTCCTAACAGTGAGGACAATTAACCAGTGGAACAGGTTGCCTTCAGAAACTGTAGGAGCTTCCTCACTGGAGGTTTTTAAGAAGACTGGACAGCCACCTATCTGAAATGGTACAGGATCTCTTGCTTGAGCAAAGGGTTAGATTAGAAGACTTCCAAGGTCCCTTCCAGCTCTATTCTGATTGATTGAAATGTTAGTATCAAGAAAAAAAAACTAATGCAAAGAAAGTCAAAAATGATGTAAGAATTTTGAAAATTCTATATGACTTTGCATATATATTATAAATGGCATAGTTGGAAATATGTTCAAATATAACCTTAACTTGCTTATGAAGCAGTTATTTGAGCCATTTATTGAACAAAATTCAGGAAATGCTATGCATTAAACAGATGACAATTCTTTATCAGGTTACTAAAAATGTATGAATATAAGAAAGCAAACGGTTGATTTAAAGAAAGTGAATAGATACAATGAATAGATTATGCAATGTTTTTGTACAAGTATGGAGTTAAACGTTGGCTTGTTCGATGGGTGCAAAACATCTGTGAGAACATTGCAATGCTTATCAAACAAGTCAATCCTCAACAGGAAAAAAAAACAAGATTGTATCATGTCCTCTTGGGTGGTGAAAGTATAAGGCATGCTTATGCAGATTATAATAAATGTGATGGTTAGGAATGTGACAGTTTTGTGCATATGTTATATATTGTCCAGATACATACTGTACGTACATGTATGTCCAAACATAATTCAAATGTTAAATACTACACGGTTTATGTTACATTATATGAAGAACTGACTATATCTGAATAAGCTTGCTGAAGCCCCAAAATCAGACTTATGAGTCTTGTTTTCTGACAGACTTTAATTTAGTACAGTCTTTCCTCATCCCAAAGGTGGTTTTTCAGGAGGCAACTGGACTTCCAAGAAAGTCCAGTTGCCTCCTGAAAAACAACCATGACCTGGATGACTGAGAATCTCTAGAGAATTTTTCCTCATTGTTTGCTAGCTGAGAATTTTAGAAGAAGTCCAATGTATCTGGAGGACTTCAATTTATGTAGGAAGAGCTGATGATACCAGGAAAAGGGCTTTCTCATTGGTGGCCTCAAATCTTTGGAATTCTGTTCTCATTTCTGCTGGCTTGTAAAGATAAATAAGAAGACACATTTATGACAGACTATTTTGGACTGACTATTCTATTCTAGTGCATTATTTAGGGGAAAACACTTCTTGGAATTTAGTTTTAACATGACTGCTGAATTACCAGTTTGGTTTAGTCTGTTTTAACAAATATTTTTAAAGCAAGCAAACAAATAAGCCCGATGTTTTAGATTCAAATTATTGTTTAATAACAATAAGATTATTGATTGATTTTGACAATCCTACTTTGTTGATATCAAAGAAGATTGGAGTAGAGTTGCCCATGCAATATTAGCAAAATTTAATCTGAAGTACTATTTGGTTTAAAAAAAACCCATCAAGGAATCATCTCAAAACCTATTTTAAGAAAACTCCAAAGTCTACAATGGGCCCCATTATTATATTTATATATATTTAACTAGATTAGATAAACATTTAACAAATGCAGTTGCACAAGTTGTTAAGCTTGATTAGTGAAATTTTTTTTGTTCAGTATGTTGTACAAACACAGTTCATTTGCAAGTTTAAATATTTTGCATGAGCCTAGACTATTCAATATCCAAGTTAAACATATTGTACGAATATAGTCATCAAGCATAGGAAACAAAATAAAACTGACATATATTCCACTCTGATTGGAAAAATCCCAAATAAAACAAGTGATGAGAAAACGTGATTAAAGAAAAGATATATTACACAACATATAATAATGTGAAAAATATGTTTAACCATTGTAACTATAAACTATGAATACATTATTTTGCTTATACTAATAAACGAGGCTGAACTTTCATTTGGGAATGGAACATTGAAAACCAGACCTGCTTTTGCAATCCGTTGCTTTTTGGATACCAGGAAAACCATATTTTCTTCATCAAGCTGGGCAGCAAGAATATCACCGTCTACCATGTAGTATCCAAAGATCTAAATTAAACCCAAAAATGTATGATATGAAAATTTAAATAGTCATGAAAAATAAATATTTGTATGTGGATATTATATGAGAAATAACATCATTATTAGGAATGTTTGTGATAATAGGTCTAAAGATCAAGGACGAGTCTTTACACTTCTATAAGTATTTTAATACCCTGTACATTCTAGAACAGATAATTAGGGGGAAAAGTTCATGACATGAATAAAACCTAAGCCAGTTTAGACAATGTGTTTCAATGTCAGTTTTGGAAGCCATATTGAGATCCGATGCTGCCAGGCTGCCACAATTGAGCCTGGGAAAGTGGGAGGGGGGAATATATTGGAGTATATCTAGTTAGACATAATAACATTCTTTTTCTGATTCAAGGTCAGGTCATGTTGTGCATAGTGAAAGAAAGTCTTAACTTGGGACAGATGGTGATTTTGCCATGTGATGTGATGTGATGTGATGATGGATGCAGGGAAAGGATTTGTAGTTTTTACTTAGTGTAAGGAAGCCCGGAACTTTCAGATTCGGGATTCCACAGTTGTTCCAGTTACTATCCAAATAAAAGGAACCTTTGAGAGATCTCTGTCTCAGAGCTATTGGGTAGAATGGAGTTTTGCTGGAACGCTGACAATCTATTTCTTTTTATAATTGCTAAATTTACTATCATAAGGCAACCATTCTTGAATCAACATACCTTAAATGGGCTACCTTGCAGAATGCATTAAAATTTCAGAATACAAGACTACCATGAGATTGAAATTTCATAAAGTTGTGACTGTTTTAGTTCTGTTGGACTGCCATGGTTATGCGATTGTCATTTCCAATGTTCTCTGCCACCTATTGAAAAGTCAATGGGGAAGCTAGTAGGAAATCGGAAGTCACTCCCACTCCCACTCAGTAGTGGGATTCAAACTTTTTTTACTACCGGTTCTGTGGGTGTGGCTTGGTGGGTGTGGCAGGGGAAGGATACTGTAAAATCTCCAGTCAGAGGTGGTATTTTCCGGTTCTCCTAACTACTCAAAATTTCCACTACTGGTTCTCCAGAACTGGTCAGAACCTGCTGAATGCCACCTCTGCTCCCACTGCACATCCTGTTTCTTTGTTTAGATAAGGTTATGTCTCTGAAATAATAACCCAGTGTGTCTTAAGTTGTCTGGTCGTAAATAAAACTTGGGAAGAGAGATATCATAAACACTGTCTTGACTTATGGATAAAGTGCATGGTCTTTGTACAAAGTGTTGTGTGTTTTACCTTTAGTACATTATGCATCTTGTTCCCAAGTATGGGTTAAAATGACATCTGAATTAAACTAAGAAACCATTTTGCTTGAAAGATAGTGGCTTGTGGAAGATTAGCATCTGAATGTTTGAATATCAAATATATTATAGTCTTCTTGCTTTCAATCAATATGTTAACTGTCCTAAAGATAGATAGATAGATAGGTAG